TATATCCCTCGGGCCATAGGCCCTCGGGCTAGTTTCGCCTTCGGGCATTATAATCTACATAATCCCCTTGGTACATAAATAGCTATAAGAGCCACAGACGCCTACCACATAACGAATTATCGTACGATATGCGTTGGAATCATGCAATAAAGATGCCATGTGATGTGTAGGCAAATTGGATGCTTTGAGTATCGATTTTCTTTAAAATATCGTATCAAGCTATCAAGGGACGTGTCCGTGACAGTCCGTGTCCGTATTTGTCCCGACCGTAAAAATAGAATCATCCATCATACAATTTTTAAAAACTTCTTAAAAGACTTCCTATCAAAACATAAAGTTCTTAACTGCGCCCAATTTGGATTCCGTCCTAAAGGCGGCATTACACGGCGTGTGGAGTGGCACGCCGGCACTTGAACTGATACCCCACACGCCGTGTGAAGATCTGGCACGGCAAATTTTGCGCTGCCTGTCTGTTCCCGTTGATGTACGGTGAATTTTACACACGTCAAAGAAAACGCGCCGCGCGTGAGGGGAGCGAGTCGGGGTATGAATTCACACGGCGCCTGGAGCGAACGGGAGCGAGAAGTTCAGCAGATGGCTGTGGTTCAGCAATAAAAAATATTTTTTAGTAATTCTTGATATTACTGAAACGAAGATGTTGTCGAGGAAGGTCTGAACACGCAATGCGCGAACTTTCACCAAGAGGCGCAAACTTGTCAATTCACAGGCCGTCTGTCTGCGATCACATTCCACACACCCATAATACCCAAGGTTCTAGAAAAGCTTTTAGTTTATTTCTAGATTCTGGTTTTTTGAGGTCGGGTGGTAATGAAAACCACTTTTTTAAATTTGCCGACGTTTCGATAAGTATATCATATTCATCAGGGCTCTGAAAAGAAAAGAAAAATTCGAAGTACAAAGCAGTGTTACACTAATATATAAAATTCTCATGTCACAGCAGAGGTTATTCTAAGGATTTTTTTCCACTGCACTCAGAAGTGAAGCTAACTATGAGCCATCATCATGAAAGTATTCCTCACCGAAAAGTATAAACACAGAACACAGTATAAAATAGATGCTGATAAGCTATCAGTGACAAAACTGGACAAAACCAATCACGAATTTAGAATTAGGCACTAGCTGACGTCACACAGATAACCTCACTTTCCAGTGGCATAGCCAAAACAAACATGGATGTCGGCGACATCTAAATTGCGAGGCCCTTTTTATGTAGGATGGCAATAATATTTCTTGTGACAATAAGCTGAATATAACGACAGGGACCGGTAGCCGCTGGCCGGCAGGCCCGCCGGAGGCGGGAATTTTTTGAGTGTCGCGCCCTTTTTTTCGGGTTTATCAACGGTTTCGAAAGGTCTTGAGGATAAAGACTCTAAAGACCACTTTTGGAGACCAATGCAAAATTCTAAGGCACTTGATCTGAATCCTTGGAACTTCGAAGAATCCTAATACTTTGAACAACTTAGAGATCATGAGAAGTCTTGAGGCTTATGACTAAAAATTCTGGGGATTTTGGAGTCTCCGAAGACTCATTTTTTCAAATATTTTGAAATAAGGACTTTACTAAGTTGAGATCAGAAGATACAAAAGATGTCGGCGTCTTGATCAATTATTCTAGGATCATTCAGACTAAAGATTCTGATGATCCTGAAGGTTTCGAAATGTCTTGGGGATAAAGACTCTAAAGACCATAGCTTTGGTGACCAATGCCGGATTCTAAGGCACTTGATCTAAAGTCTTGGAACTTGGAAGAGTCCTTATACTTCGATCACCTTAGAGATCTTGAAGAGTCTTGAGGCTCATGACTGAAAACCCTGGTGATTTTGAAGTTTCTAAAGACTCCTTTATTAAATATTTTGTAAGAAGGACTTTTCTGAGCTACGATCAGAAAATGCAAAAGATATTGGTCTTGATCAATTATTCTAGAGCCATTGCAGAGTATGGATTCTGAGGATTCTGAAGGTTTTGAAATGTCTCGGGGATAAAGACTCTAAATACCACAGCTTTGGAGACCAATGCAAGATTCCAAGGCACTTGATCTAGTACCTTGGAACTTGGAAGAATCATTATACTTTGCAAAACTTAGAAATCTACAAAAGTCTTAACTGAAAACTCTTGGGATTTAGAAGTCTTTGAAGACTGTTTTTTTTTCAAATACTTTGAAATAAGCATTTCACTGAGCTAAAAACTAAGAAGACTTTAAAGACCATAGCTTTGGAGGCCAATGCAAGATTCTAACGCACTTGATTTAAAGCCTTGAAACTAGGAAGAATCCTTATACTTTTAATACCTTAGAGATTTTGAGGCTCATGATTGAAAGCTCTGGGGATTTTGAAGTGTTTGAAGACTCATTTTTCAAAATATTTTGAAATAAGGATTTCACTGAGCTAAAATCAGAAGATGCAAAAGATGTCGGTGTCTTGATCAATTATTCAGAGCCATTGCAGACTGAAGATTTTGAAAATCCTGAAGGTTTCGAAATGTCTTAAGGATAAAGACTCTGAAGACCATAGCTTTGGTGACCAATGCAAGATTCTAAGGCACTTGATCTAAAGCCTTGGAACTTGGAAGAATGCTAATACTACAGAATACTACGTACGAAATAGCAATATTTAGTCAAAAATATTAATATTTTTCAATTTTCAAACAAATCCTTCCGAAAATCTATCGAAAAAATAAAAACCCTACGTTTTATTTTGGAAAATCGGAAAGTACCAATTTTTAGGTTCGGTAACTTATTTTTTGCGAGGCTCTTTAGGGCGCGAGTCACTTTTGTTGGGGGAATAAAGTGTTTGACAACTATTTACAGCAGTCAAAACTGTGACACTGATGATAAAAAACTTCGCAGCGCCGGACTTGTCTGAACAGGTATATTACCAGATTGATTTGAGAAATATCTTATTTGTCCCATTGATGTAGAATGTAGGCATGTAGGTTTGTCTCAATGACATGAAATGTTTGTCTCACCCTCTAAAGTGACGTTATTTGATTTTTGACGTAATAGCTAGCGCCTGCATGTATTACATAGGTTATACAACTAACTAAACTTCAATACATTGAAATTTTTTAAAAAATTCTATAATAGAATTTGCCATAAATGCCACCAAGCGCAATAATCCCAAAAGGCTTATCACTTTTTAAGCCTCTCGTGTCATATGGGAATAATGTACTGTGAGTTGTATAACCTTTTGAATACCACTCGATGTTTCAGCCGTTTCAGGATTACCCAATACTTTCACCTGACACTCAACGAGTTACCAGCAACACCACTCCTCCTTCGGAGTCGTGGTGTTGCTGCGTAACGCTTTTCTTGACAGGTAAAAGTATTATCCGGTAATCCTGAAACCTCTTGTGGTATTACATTCGACAATCCAAACCACGTGATATGCAAGATGGCGTGGCGGCCACACATAGGCCAAACTATTAGCCAAAATTCATTTTTTAGTCGTGTGCAGTCTACTGTTTGTTCGAAGTTTTACATTTTTATGTGCTTTAATGTGTTTTTGTGGGGGGTAAATCTGTTAAGTGCAATACGACAAGATATTATCGTTATGTAGAGCCAATATTCGCTTGGTGCCCCAGGATTATCCACGTCTTTTACCTTACTTGGTTTTCCTATTGTAAAACCATAATGATGGTTTGATTGCCGGTATAACCATGCTTTTCGTCTTTTTCCTTATGTTTTATTTAAATAAGGAAAATATACTGAAATTGTCACGCTTAGGACCCTGTAGAAAAACATATTTTGATTGTCCAAATGAAGCAGTATTTTCTAGATTTCAAGTTAGATTCTGTACACCATGACGAAAGCGCATCGACAATATTTATTAAAAGTCCTTTGAAACGCGAAAACTTGATTTCAACAAGAGCCGCGAATTTAAGCTCAAATACCTAAACGATGTTTGGATGTGGCCTCGCCATAACTCGAGATAGTTTGCGCTGGTTTTCAATAATAATGATCATCTTATCTCGGATTTGAACACTTATTTCTATTTCCTAATACCTCTCTCCCTGCTCTGATACTAATCTCTCTAGAAAACAACAAAAAGTGAATTATGTATTATCAACATTGTAACTTTGGGATAGTTGTAGTGATTCACGTCAAATATCACTAGCGATCACTATAGGTACTTCAAAAATAAACGTGTGTCACATATTCATTGACACACTGTTGCATCAGTGTCTCCATTTTCAACAGACAGTCTAATATAATCTCGAACGCCGTGAGATGCCAAATAAATTTGAACAAAATTGAAACATAGAAATGTGGGTACATTTATTCCGTCTGACGCCAGTAAGGCATATGAACACAAAAGGGGGACAAGGGGGCAAAATTCTAAACGAAAATAAACACCCGACCTCAGCGGATAAGTGATATAAAACAACTTAAAACGCGGCTGGCGCGTCTCTTTTAGCTTCTTATTTATAAACACTCCCTGTAAGGTACACAAAGAAAACACTAAAAGTCGTTTATGTTTGAGAATAAATACATACTTAAACATGATCCTGGATGATTTTTCAAGATTTTCTATCGGAGAAAGACGTACCTACCTGCTTATGGAGGAAGAGAAATAATTACCTAAAGTAATGAAATGTTATACTAATATTTACAACTGTGAAATGAGCATTATTACTGCTGTGATCCTGTTAACAACGTCATTGTAATCTGTATTACCGCTGTTATACCTCATGAGAACCTTTGAGACGAAATTCCATTCAAAGCTAGTACTGTGGAAAGTTCATTAACTCATCAAAATTTGATAACGTCAAGGCTCACCAAACAACTACTTTTATTCAGAAAAATTCAAGTACCTAGTTCATGATGGTAAACTAGACGATTCGCAATCCTTTTCCGAATAGTCGCCCATTAGACTTACTCTGAAAAAATCCTCTTTGATCTAACAAATTTTCTCTAGAAAATAAGCCCTTCACATCTAATGGACTGTCCAGAGAAGGCAATTGTAATGTTTGCTGAACTATGTTACAAATCTTTATTTGGAAGTATAATAAATAACATAAGCAGGATAAAAACAACAATCGTCATATTTAACATAGACTTTTTCGTTGGGGTCCGTAGTGGTGTCAAAGGGCGATTTCGGTACTTCGGTTTCGCAATTTCCGCGCCACTCCTGTCCTACTAAAACCTGGACGACAAACATTGCTTTCATTGTACCCGTTTCATCGCTATAGTGACTGGCATAGTATGGTGAACTAGAAAACGAAACTCCCCATCCGTATTTGTGCCTAGACACTAGTCTCCAATCGAAATTGTCTGCACAAATCGAGTCAATATTTTCAATTTTTGTGCCGTGATACAAAAGTAATTCCTTGCAAATACCCATTGCTTGTTTTCTGAGTTTGTAGTGCAAAAGTAGGTAAGGATTGATCACTTTTTTAATTGAAGCGATTTTATAAGAAGTCATGGATTTTTTGAAGGAATTACTGATGGTTTCATAGCTACTTGAACGACTATTAATGTCCTCTAAAATGTATAAATCTTTAGTGTAACTTGGTAATAAACCAAATGAATACGTAAATTCTTGGATTAGTGAGGGATTTGCAACAATTTCTATTGGCTTGGCTATTAGCATTGGTTGTTGTTGGACAGGATAAGATTCTTGCTTAAGCTTTTCTTGCCTACGTTTAATTTTTTCTTCAATCATAATTTGTTCTAAGCTTATTTCTTTCTTTTTCAACCAAGCGTTTTGACGATTTTCAGGATTATTTTCAGGTGGGCTAGTTATTGTAGGATATTTTTTTGGGAGACTGCTACAGCATGTTTTTTTGGGCTTTCTGTTATAAGCACTGAAAAATAAACTTATTGTATTTGAATAAGGGACAATTTTGTTAAAGTTCTTACTTGCAGAAACATTTCGTTTTGTCGTCCTTTGGAATAACTTGTAGAATATTCCCCTTTTTGGTTATGATAGTATTTTTATTTTCATTTATGTCCATTGCTTTGAAGCTCTTTTGCATTTCACCAATGGCTTTAGTTGCACAATAGCTTTCCATATCAAATTGTTGGTCTTTATCTGTATTCTGTGGCTTTCCCCAATTTTTGGTGGAAACTGAATTTTTCATTGCTGGAAGAAACTTATTTATCGACTTTGTATTGCTTTTTGACTATTCTACGTGCGAGAATATTTTTAACAGAAATGTGTGAAATACCTTTACCTACGAGCCTGTGGTGAAGTGCACTTCACCGCACTTATTTGCAAGTGGAAAGTAGCACTTTACCGTACATTATGCGGTAAAGTAGACTGCATAGTGTGCGAAAAAGTAGAGTAGTATTTATAATCAAACATCCCTTCTCTTTCAGAAATTGCAACTTTACTCCTCTTAACATGTTCACGACCACGACTACGCGTCACACATATGTGACAAGCAGTTTTTGCCAGGAAATGATGTCATACATGAGTGACAATGACCCTACAATGATTGAATACAAATAACTCCCGGGCGGTTCAGCGGCGACAGATGTGTTTTGGTTTTGGCACACATTTGGGTCGCATGGTTTCAGGATTGGATAATCTGTTTCAGTCATAAACTTGTGGCAGCTGTGGTTCATATCGTCTCCCAACTAGTCCAGATGTCTGTTGTTTCTAGACTCTTCTACTAGAGTTTGACGTTACAAGGTAGCACACATTGGATCCTCTCCAAGGAGTTGTGAGACCTTGACGTTGGTGGAGGGGTACAGCGACTGGCCGTGCATTTGACTGGTCAGCCGCTGCTAAGGACAGCTGAACCTCAGGGGCTTACACCTAGTGAGTACGGGAGCTGAATTTCCCGAGGCACCCTAGCTGGATCTAGACCTTCCTTCAACTTGTCTTGGGTCTAATCCCTACTTTCTTCTTTCCTACCTCGATCTCCCTTGATCTTCTTCTTCAGCCTCCGACGGTATTAGAGCAATTCAAGGGCTATGGAGCTTTCATTTTCCAGCAAACTTCTTCTCCTCCAATGACCAACAACAAATTAATCTATGAAATGTCGGAAAAGGAAAATATGATACCCCAGGAGGGTACCACTAAACGTAGAGAATCCCTCTCTGCTAAGGCAGACTGCCCCACGGATTCTGGGGGGGAGGGCAACAAACCGACGACTTCAAAGATACCAATCATACCGATTGTCCAGACGCTCGCGAGCAGCCAACTTAGAAGACCCTCGATTGGCACTAAAGAGTTGACGTAGGACAAAGATAAGCAATAATCCATCGAAACAAACGAGACAAGTAAAAGCAAAAGCACCAGGACGAACCCCTCAGGACCGCCGCTACCATGTGTGTGGTGTGTTCAAAACACACAGGCGGCCGATTGAAAGGGGCTGCCGAACAAAAATTTAACGTAGAGAGAAAGAGAAAGACAGCCAATGACAATGGCAACCGACAAACCATTGACACAAAGAGGATTGCCTATTATTGTCAAGCGCGGATACCTTTGTGATGTCACTACAGATGCGCGTCTCCCGTTTGTGTGGTCCTTCCTACATCTTTACCACGAATCTCTGACATGACTCATACGCTAAGAATCTTTAAGTCTAAAAACTGTATTCCATTCCAACGCCCTCAATTTTGTACTCTAGAGGGAATGGGCGAAAATTGTCTGGGCACCCAGGCGGCCAACGCCCTAGCGGCGGCCCTGGAACCCCTGCTATCCAAAAAGAATACCTTTGGGAACTCGTAACCAAAAAGAGAAAGAACACTTCACCCCGGACGGATGCGGAGGAAACATGTAAAACAAAATAAGCTCGGACTACTTCGTCCTAAAAGAGACACTAGAGATGATGAACAAGCTAGGAAATGTCATGTCACGCAAAATTGAACAAAATACGAAGCGAGACATCAAGGAAATCTCCAAAAATCTGGATAAACAGATCAAAAATCTTAACGGAACAAGAATCACAAGCTGGCTAGAGAGCGAAAAGTACGAGAAAATAGAAAAGATGACCTTCGAGACTGACCCACAAACCAGCCCGGAAAAAGACACAGAAACACCCTCTATAACCGAGACAGGCAAAAACACCAAACAAACGTCAGACACAAAAACGCCGACCGACGTTATGGCCAGCACCAAGCAAACGGTCGACGTAGGCACACAGTCCGCTGCCTGGAATCACATTGCTGACGACAAATGCCACTCGATCGAAAATAAAAACACGTATGAGGAATGGCTCAAACTGGAACCGAAGAGATAGAAACCCCCTCGCGACCAAAACCAGTACAGTCAAAGTAGTACTGGTAGAAGCAAATGATCCAAAAATGGAGAAGAGCATCCAAGCGCAATTCAAAAATAAATACCCCGAGCTAAACGAGACCGAGGAAGATTTCTCGGTCTTGGAGCAAAGCTCTAAATGGAAGCACACTCAAGACTCTATGGGATACCAGAAAATGATGAAGATACAACAAGGCGAAAGCGAAAAAGTCCTGTGGGATAAGATGGTCAAACTCAAAGGCGAAACGAAAAGAAACGAATGGATCACCATGCATCATATAGAGCGTTGCTCTCTGGAAAGATGAAGGAAATTGGTGGAGACCATATTTCACAAAGCGAACAACCAGGTAGTCATCTAGACAAACACGCGAATACGAACAACTCCCACTCCCCCAAAGCAACAGGTCGCCCGCCCTCATAATAGGCCAATTAGGGAAAACATACGAAGAGATTGTCAGGACTATAAAACAAAATATCAAGGAAAAAGAAACCAGCCAACAAGTCATAAATTCAATAAGGATGACAAAAAAAAAGCATGGTCATCACGGTAGAAAAGGACCCAACTGCGATACAAGGGGCCTCCCCGGACTTACGGAAACCGTCTGCATAACAGGACTAGACGTGACGGCCACAAAGGAGGAGGTCACTACGGAAATAGAGAAGATAGTCGGAAAACTCAATATAGATGGATACAAAATCTCCGAACTTAGACCAAGCTCAGGCAACACCCAGGCAATCTCCATAATCATCGACAAAAGCAAGGCAGAAAGATTTCTAGAACAACCCTACATCCGCGTACCAGTACGCCACTGCAATAAATGCTGGTCATATGAACACCCCATGGACAAATGTGACGGCCCGGACAGAAGTAACAATTGCTACAAATGCGGCAAAGAGGGCCACCTAATAAAAACCTGTCCCGAAAAAGAAGCCACCTGCTTCATATACCAGGAAGAACACAAGATTGGCTCGAGAAGCTGCCGTGCGTTCAGACGCGCCCTGTCATACGCAAGAAAGGAAAACAAAAGCATCGAGAGACTTCAGACAACTAATCAAGACTCTGTGCCCTACGAGAAAAGAGACACGGAGACCTTTGCACTATAAAGATGTACCCAAACGCTAAACAGGAACAAAAGCCAAACCTGCCAACCCCAGGACTAAGCAAGAGCAACAAAATCATTCAAATGAACCTAAACCGATGCCACGCCGCCCACGACCTACTAAACGCTATCATCCGAGCCAAATCAACAGGAATTAAAAAACTAGGGCTGGTGTACTGATACAGATATTGATGCCGCACTCAAAGTAGCAATCCGTAACATCCCATACGGGATATATGGTGACGGTTTCGCCTTCATCAAACTGAAAAACCTCACACCACAGTTGCTATTATTCCCCCAACATGACCATGACAGATTTCAGCAACGCCCTAGACGCACTAGGGGAGGCACTTCAAAATGACTCTTCGGATGCCTTAATAATGGGCGATTTCAATAGCAGTGCCACAGACTAGGGCATGCCAAAAACCAACCATAGAGGCATGCTCATGCTGGAATGGCTGGCCGCGATGGATCTGGCACTACAAAGTAGGGGAAATAAGGCAACCTACGAAAGAGGCGATGCAAAGTCCGTGGTGGACCTCACGTCAACAAAGGGCAGAATAGGTTCTAAAATCAAAGGATTAAGTGATCATAAATATATCCTTTTCGAAAGCGACAATAACCCGTGGGCTAACAACCCCCATAGTACCAACCCTAAGAAAATTGATCGCACCAAGCTAAACGCAGCCATCGATAGAGCAAACAGATCCCCCCACCGGAAGACACAAAGCAGCTGAGTCAGCTCCTGCACACTATCTGCGACGCGTCAATGCCTCGCCACTCTAAGACAAGCAAGAGACGCCCTGCTTACTGGTGGTAACAGGACATCGCGGCCCTGCGAAAAGCATGCGTTGACGCCAGGCCTAAGATGACTAGAGGCCGCCGTGGAAATAAAAACGACAATTATGTGCCCGTCAGAGAAAAATACACCAGCCTCAAGAAAGAGCTTAGTCTGGCTATCAATTGCTCAAAAAGAACCGCCACCAGAAGACTGAAGATGAGACCAGAGATCCGTGAACTGACTATGGAGTGCGCGAAAAAAACAGCAATAGAACTGTTCCCCTCCCGCCCAGTACACTATGGAGTCCCGAACCCATCTTACGTGAAGATATTCCGGACCTCACGGCAGGCGAAATCTCTGACGCGTGCCAAAAGCTCAAAGCCCACAAACCCCCAGGGCTAGACTGCGTCCTTCCCGACATTATTAAAGCAATCGGTCACAGCAGCCCGGAAGAAACTGGTTCTCATCCCAAAACCAAAAAAGGGCGCGAGTGAGACACAAAAATACAGGCTCCTATGCCTTATAGACACTCCCGGAAAGCTATTACCCATGCAGCAAGGTCTGGTCGATACAGCGTTGAAAGTGCGATACTTCCCAACGTTGCATTACGTTGTAACAACAGTTGAATGTACGTTGACAGGACGGCACAATGTCATAATTGAGACAACGTTGAATGTGATCGTTGATTTAACGTCGTTTTTTACGTTGGCCTCAATCCTATAACAACGTTGATCAGATGTATTCGAGACGTCAGATTTCACGTTGAACTCAACCCTTATCACAACGTTGACCAGTTGTAATTAAGACGTCAGATTTCACGTTGAGCCTGGGTTGAGCTCAACCTTTATTTTTTTTTACAACTTGAAACAGAAAAAATAGTACAAAGAACATGCTTCATAAGACATTTTATATCAAATTGCGCCTTATGAAACTTGTTCTCTAGCTGGGTCTGTCAGAACAGTTTTTAAATTAAATAAAATCATCAAAATGTTTGA